TGAAGTCAAAATCGCTTGAAAAGCCATTGAAACTTTAACACCGTTGGATATTGTACAAAATGTAAACATGAACATGCCCGGCCTACACATTAAATAAAATACCTTTCATTCATTCACTGAGTACATGGAGGTATTAATAAAAGTGGGTATTCTTAATTTCTTCAGAGTAAAAAATACAGGCCTATGGCTTGACTTCCACTGCGAGTAATTCCACTTTTATATCATTTATGCATAAACATAATCGCTCATCTCATCCACAGGGCTATTTTTATGATTGTTCAATGAAAATATAACCATTAAAATCATTATTCCCCACTTTTTTTAAACTGAAGACTAAAATGATCGACTATATTCACTAGGCTTCCGTAACTTTTGTGAAGTCATCAACTTTTGTGACGTCATCAAAATCAGACGCCATAACACCTCCTCTAGTTGCTACTGATCAAGCCTTTCCCGTCTGCCGGTAACATATATATGTTCATTTACGCGAACAAAGATGGGCAAATTTAAGACATTTTCAGACCTGTGCCAGAAAAAGTCCGTTTTTAAGACTTTTTAAGGCCTTAGATTTAAAAATATATATATATAGGACATTTTAAGACTTCTTAAGAATTTTCAAGGAACACACCACACACACACACGCGCGCGCACACACACACACACACACACACACACACACACACACACACACACACACACACACACACATATATATATATATATATATATATATATATATATATATATATACACACACAAATTTCACTTTGTTTAGTCACTTTGAGTCAAATTTTATCTTACAAATTATTCAACATCTGTTTACTCGCCCATTCCATCGTTCCAATACTTTAACATGGCGCGGATGTTATCGACACTTATATATCCACAATTTATAATCCCCCTGTATGTCAAGATAATCAATCCGGGAGATTTATATGCCACACGCAAAGCTGCAAGATAAGCGAGCAAATCAAGGTGGAGACTGATCGCTTAATCTCATAATATAACTAAAAATATCCGTCAACTGACGCCTATCGTGAACTCATGATGGGAGATTATGGTCTTTAAAAAATATGGTTCCTTATCCCGGGACAATATTTTTTTTTCATTTATGAATTTACTTATTTTTTTGTTTTGTTTTGTTTTTATTGTTATAACCGTTAGTACTACTTTGGTCAATATGTTACTATTATCATTTCTATTATTATCATCATTATACTGTTTATTATCATTATTATTATTATTATGATTGTCATCATTATTATTATCATTATCATTATTTTTATTGCCCTTATCATTATCATTATTTTTATTGCCCTTATTATTATCATTATTATTATTATTATCATTATTATTATTATTATTATCATTATTATTATTATTATTATTATTATTATTATTATTATTATTATTATTATTATTATTATTATTATTATTATTATTATTATTGTTATTATTAACATTATTACTATTATTATTATCATTATTATTATTATTATCATTATCATAATTGTTATTACTATTATCATCATTATTATTATTACTATTATTATCATCATCTTCATCATCACCATCATTACCATCATCATCATAATTATCATCATTATCATTAGTATCATTTTTATTATCGCCATCTTCATCACAACTAATTTTCTTATTATTATTATTATTATTATTAATATTACTAATTAGTATCATTGTATTTGCTATCATCATTATCATTATAACCATCACTGTCATAATTATTTCTTTCATTTCTATTGTTTTTATTATCATTACTATATTTATTATCATTATTGTTGTTGTTATCATTATCATTATTATAATAATTGCTATCAATTTCAACATTACTATCACTATCATTTTCTTTATCTTCATTATCATTATCTTTATTATTACCATTATTTCTATCATTATCATTAATATTATCACTATCGTTAATATAATTATCATCGTTATCATTTTGATTATTACTATCATGACCATTCATTATTTCAATACCATTATCGTAATTATTATTATTTCTCTTATCATCATCATCATCCTTATTATTATGATCATTATTATTACTCTCCTTGTTATTATCATTATCAGTTATTAATTTTCTCAATATCATTATTATCATCACTATCATTATCATCATCATTATCATTATCATTTATATTATTATTATATCATTATTATCATTTATATCATTATTATATCATTATTATCATTATTATCATTATTATATCATTATTATCATTTATATCATTATTATCATTTATATTATTATTATATCATTATTATCATTATCACTGTTATAATCATTACCATCGCTATTATTATCATTATCATCGTTATCATTGTTATCAGTATCATTACTATTCCTCTCCTCCATTCGCCGTCTTCCTGCCGCAGGTCGTGGCGGGCGAGACCGACCTCAGCGTGACGGAGGGCACGGAGCAGCCTCTTCAGGTGGCGTCCATCCTCCTTCACCCAGACTTCAGGGAGATCGACT